GAAGCAGCCGGGATTCGAAACAGAGGTTTTTTCTTTCTCTCATTGTGGCTTCTTCGGCCTTCATGCACTCTGTAGGTCTCCTCCTCTTCCCCTGGGCTCTAGTGGCCCCAGCTTGACATTACTTTTCAATAGCTGTAAACGTGTTGATTTGTGGGAGAGAGTGATACTGGGGACCATCTATTCCGCCATCTTGACTGGAAGTCAAAGTTTAACTTTTGAGAGCTAGCATCACCATGTGTATCTTGCATCTAGCTTGCAGGAATTCTGGTTGGGAATGTATATGGGAAAAGGTCCATAGAAGCACCTTGGGATATGTGATCAGGGAAGATTCCTCGATAATCTCCATAAAGGAGAGTCACACTAGGTTCCCCATTTAGAATCAAGCTCAATTCAGTAAAACAAAGCAGTGGTATGTCGAGCTTGCTGGTAGCTCGCAGGTGTTTTCACTTGCATTGCCTATGGGAAAACCCCTTTGGAACAGCAATTCATCCATGGTCAGAAAACATTGTCGAATATCACTATGAAAAAGACTCACAGAAGGTTGCCCGTTTAGAACAAAGTTTAACTTGATGAGAGCAAGCACCTTCATGTGGATCTCACATCTAGCTTGCAGGAATGTTTACGGGAAAAGGCCTATAGAAACACCATTGGATATATGGTCAGGGAAGTTTCCTTGATAACCTCTGTGAAAGAGTCACACAAGATTCCCTGTTTAGAATCAAGCTTAACTCAGTAAAACAAAGTAGTGTTTTGGAGAGCTCGTGTATAGCACACAGGTGTTTTCGTTTGCTTCGGATATGGCAAAACTCCATTGGAACAGCCATTCATCCATGGTGAGAAAACTTTATTGAATCTCTCTGTGAAAAAGACTTACAGAAGGTTGCCCGTTTAGAATGAAGGTTAACTTTATGAAAGCAAGCATGACCATGTGGATCTCACATCTAGTAGGCAGGAGTTCTTGATGGGAATGTGTATGGGAAAAGGCCTATAGAAGCACCATTGGATATACGGTCAGAGAAGATTCCTTCAATATCTCTGTGAAAGAGAGTCACAAAGGGTTCCCCATTTAGAATCAAGCTTAACTCAGGGCCGGCCCGGTGGCGCACTGCTACAGTGCGCCGCTTGGAAGCGCGGCGGCGCTCCCGCCGAGGGTTCGGATCCCACATACAGACCAGTTCCCGCTCACTGGCTGAGCGAGGTGCGGGCGCAACACCGAGGGTTGCGATCCCGTTGCCGGTCCGGTCCAGTCCGGTACAGGCGTGACACTGAGGGTTGCGATCCGTTGCCGGACACGAAAAAAGACAAAAAGGAAAAAAAAAAAAGAATCAAGCTTAACTCAGTGAAACAAAGCAGTGGTATGTAGATCTAGCATATAGCTCTCAGGTGTTTTTATTTGCATTGGCTATGGGAAATCAACAATTATTTATTGTATCTTTTCAAATGGCTAGATGAGAGGAGTTGGAATGTTCTCAACACAGGAAATGATAAATGTTTGCAGTGATGGATATGCTAATTGCCCTGATTTGATCATTACACGTTGTATACATGTATTGAAATATCACTCTACACCCCCTAAAAATGTATTCTTATTATTATGTGTCAATTAAAAATAATAATTAAGAAAACTGTGGGGAGCTGACCAGTTAATTCAGTTGGTTAGAGTGTGGAGCTGATAACACCAAGGTTCAGGGTTCAATCCCTGTACCAAAGAGCCACCAAAACAAAACTGCTGTGGCCTTAAAATGTCTATAATTACAGTTCATTATGTCACAGGTTTTAAGGACCCAGGAACCATCTCAAAGGTAGGGCAAAAGTCAAGGTATTTAGGCTCTTTCCCTCCTCAGCACCCTCTTGAAAGTAGAGAGATTTTTCCATAACAAGACATAAGGTAGTGAAGCATGCATATTGATGAGAGAGGGTTATGGAAGATTCTTCTTCCCATTGCAAAGTAATCACCTGGACCCATATTACATATATAACGGGTTGTGATAAAAGACCTCAAACTTTTTTGAAAGCTTTATGCTAGAAGCATGGTGAAAACATTTTACAGTTGTTCAGCATTTTGCATTTTCATTGGTGGAGGAAGACTGCATCTTTTTTTTTTTAAGAAAACATTTGAGACTTTTGCTCCTTCACCACCAAATAGACAGAATTCCATTCAAGAATGGAGTTTGGAGAAACAGAAGCTAAAACTTTTCCAAATTAATTTAACACTGTCTTTGTGGGCAGAATTGCATCCATTTAAGGTTATGATGATGTGATCTGGATTTTCAGTAAATTTTTTTTAAAATAGTTTTTCCCTCACTCTGGGCCCAGAGAATGGAATGGAGTTTGACTCCAGGTTAGGAGGACATTCCCAAAGGCACTTCAATGGGACAACAAAAGATAGCAGGTCAGGGACAAGGAGAGGGATGGCCAGTACAAGGAGGGGCATGACCCCTGGACTCCCAGAGTCTTAATATCTGTAGCATGTAAATCTGTTTTCTATCCCACGTTGTAATTTCCCTTTGATCTCCCCATGTCTGGATAAAACTCTGGAGCCTGGAATTGGCTGTGCTTTAGGGAACTAAGGGAAGGGCCTGGGTCTCTGCTGGCCTGAGGCAGTGCAGAGAAGACAAGAAGGCAAGGAAAGGATGGCAAGAAGTCGCCTTGGAGTCTCCTGGAGCAGCACCAGGCTGGGGTACAAGTGACTACCCACAAAGATTACTGGAACTTGTGAACATTACTCATAATCCCCCAAAGACACTGGGGAAAGGAATCAGGAGAAAGGGTACATTTCCTGTAGGCAGTCACTTATGGCGCAGAAGAGACTTATCACCTGAGCTTTACAAGGAGCTCTGACTCTTGAACCTGGAGATTTAAGATCCCAGGTTACATATACCTGCTCCTGCACATATTAAAAGTGGTCTCTCCCTGGGGCCAGCCCGGTGGCGCACTGCTACAGTGCGCCGCTTGGGAGCGCGGTGGCGCTCCCGCCGAGGGTTCGGATCCCACATACAGACCGGTGCCTGCTCACTGGCTGAGCGAGGTGGGGGAGCAACACCGAGGGTTGTGATCCCGTTGCCGGTCCCGGTCCGGTATGGGCGCGACACCGAGGGTTGCGATCCCGTTGCCAGTCCCCGGTATGGGCGCGACACCGAGGGTTGCGATCCCGTTGCCAGTCCCCGGTATGGGCGCGACACTGAGGGTTGCGATCCGTTGCCGGACACGAAAAAAGACAAAAAGGAAAAAAAAAAAAGTGGTCTCTCCCAACCATAGTCTATCCTAATGGGCTTCAACTTTCTTTGACTGGAGTTTGGAGTATTATAAACATTTTCCAACTTACTTCATCATTTATAAAATTAGTAATATTGCATCTGAGCAAGATTTTGGTCATGCAATGGCTACATGCCAGTAAGACTCATCCTACCCAAGACACAAATCTTGCCTCATTTTTTTAAGATTGGTTTTGGTTAAATTGTTCACCTGTTCAACACTTATTGAGCATCTACAATGAGCTGGGCCCACAGAACTAAATAATGATGCCAACCCACCACTCCACACTGTCAGGATGTAGTAGGGGAGAAGTCACTTTAATCCATAATGAGTACACAGTGCAGTAGGTTCATGATAGAGATCAGCTTCCATTTGTCTTTTGATTCATTAGAGTCACTGAGAACGAAGCCATGTTCTGGGCAATGAAGGACATATCAGTGTCTTTCCTATCACTTTTTACTGAAGGAAAAGGCCCATGGGGCAGCAGAGGACGGATATTCAGTCATCCCTAGGGATGATGCAGGGTCCACCATTTACTTACTAGGTCTAGATCAAACTCTTTGGACTCTTTCCTCATTTACAAGATGGAGGTTTCACTGGGATGTTGAGAGGATTAAATTAAGGCAATAAATGTAAGGTGTTTAACACAGTGCCTGGTACAGAATGGGTAATGTTAATATTTGTTTTGTGCTCTCTTCTCTTAGAAGTTACTACCACCTACAGAGGTCTGTTACTTGTAACAGAGAAGATCCTTCTGGTTGTCAACAAGTTATTAATTTAAATAAAAAATTTTTAAAAGAAAGAGAAAAAAATTTTAATTTCATACATGTGCTCAGCACTGTGGTAGGCACCACTATACTATTACAAAATTAGCATGAACACATCTTCCTAATTCTAGGTGATGTCATGGGACATGAGATATTCGAGGGTGTGAGATTCATCCCAGGAAAGTTAGTAAAAAGGAAGGGCTATGAATGCTGCCCTGAAAAAAAAAAACAAATCTTTTAGTTTAAACAAGGAAAATGGCTATAGGAAGCACCTAAAAACACTGGGAAGTAATAAACTGAATATATCATGTTAAACATCTGCCATATTTGGAAAGGTGGGTGACTTCAATGCTAGCCTCCTAAAACTGGGGCAGTCAGGGTCTTCTGCCTTATCAGATATGATCCCTCCCATAGAGCCCCAGAACAAAGTGGACTCAGTGACTACATCACATGGAATCTGAAAAGATGTCTAATATGAATGAGGTTTTATTTATTTGGGGGTTTAAACACTTCTCATTTGAATGCACATTTATACAGCAAGTTAGACTGATCAATCACATAAACAACTGTCCTCACATAATAGGTAGTTGTTACTTGAGATGAAAATCCCAGTGATGATAATAAATTCAGATACATATAGCACTGTATGTAAAGCAACTTAGATGAAAGACAGTTTCTGGTGACTGAAAAAATTGGCCCAAAGATGCATGTGAAGATTCTAAATGAAATGTGAAAAAGCAAAAAGTACTAAAATATTTAATATATTAATTTAAATAAATAAAAACTTAATTACTATAATTAATAATAAAAGTGAGGAATCTCTCCTCCAACATTAGTATATTTTTATAGAGTATAGAATCCCAGTCAGAGCCACTGGAGCCATGGATTCCCACTTCACTTTTGCATCACTGAGCCTCTCTTTCCCACTCAGTACTTCAGGAGTTTGATATATTTGGCTTAATCCTCTCACTACTTATCTTATTCTTCTGGTTCTTCCTCTTCTTCCTCTTCTTCTTCCTCTTCCTCTTCCTCTTCTTCCTCCTCTTCTTCCTCTTCTTCTGCGGCTTCAGAGGCCTCTACTGAGACTGGTTCTGTGGCCTTTTCTGTGGTCTCTGGAGGACCTTCTGCTGGTGGTGAACGTTTACAAAGGCACAAAGAGCAAATAATTAAGCCTATTAATAGTAGTATAAAAAATATAAGGACAGATAATATTGTCAAGTCTACATCTAATTCTTCTTGTTTGTGATTGGTAGCATTTCCACTTCCTTCTTCTGCTGGAGGTCCATCACCTGGCGTAGAGGCAGGGCCACTGTCTATACTACCCCCAATTCCTGGATTTTTGCAGTCAGGGGGGGCAAAGCCAAAATTACAGTGGCAGTGCCCTAAATCATTGCAAATTCCATTCCCATTACACAGATCCACTGAATTGCAGGGAAGGACGTTTGTAGGGGGAATAATGCAGAAAAATTTCTTGCAGACTTTGTGTTCGGCACAAGAAGTGCCATCCTGAACATCTCCTTCATCAGGAATATCAGTATTATTACTATAGGCATCCATGCTAAAGCAGAAGGAATCTTCATCAGGGACCTGGATCATTGTGTGGTGGAGTTTTATTTCTGGTAACTTACTAATACTTGTACATATAAGTTTCCCACACATTATATGGTCATTTGTACACTTAATATAATTTGGATGATCTCTAGTGGGAAGGCCACAGTTTCCAAATCGGTCCCCTCTGCTGTTCATTAAAGTGTAACATTTTTCTGAGGCAGAAGTTGCACCAAACCCAAAAACACGCACACATTGACTACTAGGATCCAAGCAATGACCACGAAGACAATAGTACTGTTCGTGACACACTGTGGCATCTTGTTTAAACCTGTCATCGGGACATATAGAAGACGTACCATTACAATATTCTGGGAGGTCACATGATTCCTTAGGATGACGGCAAGTGTGTCCTTTAGGTTGAAATTTACAGTGAGAACAGCAAGGGCCATCACTACACTGTGCAGTGGGCTTTAGTTGACAGTTTTGATCACAGCATGCATGATTCATACAGTCAGAACCACAGTCACACTGCTCCATTTCATCAACCACGCCATTTCCACAGTTGGAATCCCTCCTCACTCTCCTTCAGTTTACATACTGGATCACAGCATGGATCAAGGTGACAGGCAGAGCCACAGTCACACTGCTCCCAGTCCTCCACCACACCATTTCCACAGCGGGAGGCCCTACGCATGCGGCCTTTGTGCCATGGCTTGTTAAATAGGCAGTCCCCTTTGTGTTCATGAAGGAACTGGTAAAAGGAGTCAGAGCTGCAGTTGCTGAAGCCACTTTCTTTAGTGATATTTTCATGCATGAGGCAAAGGTGCTTATCTTTACAAATGCAGGCCGAGTGGTCGTGCCGAATACCCAGGTTGTGCCCGAGCTCATGGACCATGAGCGCTGCAAACAGAAGGACGTCTTCATGATGGAAGGATTCAACAGCTGCCGCAAAACCGCTTGAACAGGCACCATTGAGAAATGCCTGGCCCATATTCTCCCCAGGATGATGCCCGACGATCATGTGGGCAACATCATGCTTCACACGATGGAAGAGATTCTCTCGTCTCCAGCTGTTGAAATTCCTGAGTGTAACTTGCAGATCCACTGGGACCTCTATTAGGTCCCCCTCGGTCCAAATCTCCATTCCAGCCAGCACCACCTCTGTGTTTATTCCCCTAGTGAAGCTGTTGGCCAGAGCAATAATGTCCACTACTCTCTGGACTGTCTCATTGATGTTACTGCCCCACATCTGAAACCGCTGGTTGTCGACCACGACAAACATCTCCACGTACTTGGTGTGCGACCACAAGTAGGACAGTGCCTGTACATTATGAGGCTTCCTGCTCCCTTGTTGCCGGCTGGTGGACACCACCTGGTTGTCTTTGGAAGTGACACTACAGGAGACTCTAGCTTGATGTGCCATGGTGTATAACACATGTTCAAACCGTTTGGAAGAGTTCATGGGTTTAATGCCATAGGATTTTTCCTCCTTAATCAGGATGCCCCTGAGGCCTGCACAGGTGTTGACAGACACAAAAGAACCTGGCACTCCTTCTATGTAGCCTTCATAGTGGCAGTCATGTGCGATATAAGGCATTTCTTGACGCAGGATGCCACTGTGGTAACTGTAGACTGGGAAGTTATTCATAAAATCGTCCGTCTTCACTTTTAGATGAATCACCTCTTCCTGACCCTGCATAAATAACGAATAGGAAGCCTTCTTCACTGGGTCTTCACTTCCTTTGACTGTCAGCCTCTTGGGGATGACCATTTCATAGGAAGAAAAATCCACCGATTCCATGCCACAGTATATGCATGGGAGAAAAATCATCCCCAAGAGCAACATGGTCCCCAACCTGACACACGAAAGACCTGGCACTAGTCCCAGCTTCAGACCCTTCATCTGGGGAGCCCAAGTCTGAAGCACATTCATAGCCTCATACAAAACCGGGTAGGGTTTCTGTAGAGAAGACAAGAAGGAGGCAGAGACTCTCACTGAGGCTGTTGCTGACATGGCCCTAGTGAATCAGTTGTTGGTGCAGGGCCTGTGTCCATGAGCAGCAGCTCTCCCTGACATGCAGACTCTCAGACACGGGTATTACCCCCAGATCTGTGGGGGCTGCCTACCTCCTAGAGTTACAGCCTTCTAGCTGGGTCTCTTCTTAGTCTTTCTGATCTCTCTGGTATTTTTCAGACTGTTTCCATTCTTGGTGAATTCCCCTTTCAGCATTAGTTTCAGTGCTCCTTCACATAGGTCCTTTTTGACATCATGGAGGTATGTATCATGAATAAGGACTACAAACTCTATAATGCAGGACTGTATATTGAGAGAAGAAACCAAATCTTAAAGTCTTTCTCAACAGGACCACATGGAACACCCCTCCCCCACCCCTTGTATCGTCAGTTGCTCCACTAACTCCAAATGTTCCAGACCTGGGGGCTTGGACATCTCTTTGGTGGGCACACTCTATTGCCCATTTGCTCTTTTCTAAAATTCTTGCTGTGTAGCACACGAACATCTTAACCAGGGTGATCTTTCCCCTCCATGAGGCATTATAGATATGTGTGTGCATTTCACAGGTCAGTCTGTTAAATAAGGCAAGTGAGGTGGCTGGCCTGTGCCCCAACATAGACCCCAGTGGGCTAGTGATCTGGGTTAAGGGACAATAGTCCTATTTTTTAACATCATCAAAATTCAGTGTCTCAAGTTCTGTTTATAATGCTGTCTCTAAAAGTGTATATGGGAAATGGTAACAGAGAATCCTCTTCTTATGTGTGATTATCATAGGCACATTTGTTGGTATCTCCAGGAACATACCCTCTTAGGGATGGCCCTGACATATCGGTATCATAAGGTTATGCCTGTTGAAGGAAAGTACCCTAAAAGTCTCCCCTGTGTTAGAATATAATGCCCATGTTCTAATGACCACTTCTGGTTTTTTCCTGAGAAGAGCTCTTGTCCAAGAGTAGGTGAACAAGAATTATTTTTTGAATGAATAAATGACTCCTAGGCACGGGTGCTACAGTGTCCCATCTGTTGAGTGTTATTTGTTTGTATTTGGTTCATGCCTGCCCTGATGGCTAAAAATGTCTTCAGAAAAACCCACATGGTGACTAATGCTGACTAACGGCATATTCATCATGTCCAAATTTATCTCCTACTACTTTTTGCTGGTCAGTTCACTCTCCTGATTTTGTCTTGCCTCATATTTCACTGAAAAAATAGAAGCAATTAAAAGAACACTTCCACAAGTAGCCCCCAGATGAATGCATCTGTATCTAAACTGTCTTCCTGTTGTAGTGGATGAATTAATTGTCCATGGTCCTGTCTAAGGCCAATCAATTTCCTTGTGTGTGTGTGGGGGGGTCTCCTTCCATCTCAATTTCTCATGACCTTCACTTTCACAATTGTTCCTACTGTCTTTTACATCTGTTGTACCCCAGGGATAAATCCCACTTGATCATGGCAAATGGTCCTTTTAATATGCTCTTGAATTTGGTTTGCTAGTATTTCGTTGAGGATTTTTGCATTTGTGTTCATCAGGGATATTGGCCTGTAATTTTCTTTTCCTGTGGTGCTCGTATCTAGCTATGGTATCAGGGTAATGCTGGCCTCATAAAATGAGTTTGGAAGTTTTCCTTTCTCATCACATTCTTAGAAAAGTTTGAGATGGACTGGCATTACATATTCTTTAACTGGCTGGTAAATTCATTAATGAAGCCATCACATCCTGGACTTTCTTTGATGGGAGAATTTTCATTACTGACTCTTTACTTGTTATTGGTCTTATTCTGAGTCTTTTGTGGTTCCATATGAATTTCAGGATTATTTTCTCTTTCTGTGAAGAATGTCATTAGGGATTACATTGAATCTGTAGATCACTTTGGGTAGTATGGACAGTTTAACCATATGAATTCTTCCAATTCATGAACAGGGGATATCTTTCCATTTACTTTTGTCTTCTTCCATTTCTTTCATCAATGTTTTATAGTTTTCAGTGTACTGGTCTTTCACCTCCTTGGTTAAATTTATTCCTTAGTATTTCCTTTTTTTGGTAGCTACTGTAAATGGGATTGTTTTCTTGATCTCTTTTTCAGATAGATCATTGTTAGTGTATAGAAATGTTACTGTTTTTATAAGTTGATTTTGTAGCCTGCAGTTTTACTGAATTTGTTTTTAGTAACTAACAGTTTTTTGGTGGAGTTTTTAAGGTTTTTTTGGTTTTAAGGTTAAGGTTTTAAGGTTTTCTGTACATAAGATCATGTTGACTGTAAACAGAGACTATTTAACTTCTTCCTTTCAGGTTTGGTTGCCGTTTCTTTCTTTGTCTTGCCTAGTAGCTCTGGCTAGGACTTCCAGTACTATATTGAATAGAGGAGGCAAGAGTCAGCATTCTTCTCCTGGTGCTGATTCTCACAGAAATCCTTTCAACTTTTCAGTGTTGATTATGATATTATCCATAGGCTTGTCGTATATGGTCTTTAATTGTGTTGAAGTACATTCCTTCTATACCTAATTTGTTGAGAGTTTTTAATCATAAAAGAATGTTGGATTTTGTCAAATGCCTTTTCTGAATCTATCAAGATGATCGTATGGTTTTTGACCTTCATTCTGTGCATATGGTGTAACACATTTATTGACTTGCATATGTTGAAGCATCCTTGTACCCCAGGGATAAATCCCACTTGATCATGGCAAATGGTCCTTTTAATATGCTCTTGAATTTGGTTTGCTAGTATTTCGTTGAGGATTTTTGCATTTGTGTTCATCAGGGATATTGGCCTGTAATTTTCTTTTCCTGTGGTGCTCGTATCTAGCTATGGTATCAGGGTAATGCTGGCCTCATAAAATGAGTTTGGAAGTTTTCCTTTCTCATCACATTCTTAGAAAAGTTTGAGATGGACTGGCATTACATATTCTTTAACTGGCTGGTAAATTCATTAATGAAGCCATCACATCCTGGACTTTCTTTGATGGGAGAATTTTCATTACTGACTCTTTACTTGTTATTGGTCTTATTCTGAGTCTTTTGTGGTTCCATATGAATTTCAGGATTATTTTCTCTTTCTGTGAAGAATGTCATTAGGGATTACATTGAATCTGTAGATCACTTTGGGTAGTATGGACAGTTTAACCATATGAATTCTTCCAATTCATGAACAGGGGATATCTTTCCATTTACTTTTGTCTTCTTCCATTTCTTTCATCAATGTTTTATAGTTTTCAGTGTACTGGTCTTTCACCTCCTTGGTTAAATTTATTCCTTAGTATTTCCTTTTTTTGGTAGCTACTGTAAATGGGATTGTTTTCTTGATCTCTTTTTCAGATAGATCATAGTTAGTGTATAGAAATGTTACTGTTTTTATAAGTTGATTTTGTATCCTGCAGTTTTACTGAATTTGTTTTTAGTAACTAACAGTTTTTTGGTGGAGTTTTTAAGTTTTTTTTGGTTTTAAGGTTAAGGTTTTAAGGTTTTCTGTACATAAGATCATGTTGACTGTAAACAGAGACTATTTAACTTCTTCCTTTCAGGTTTGGTTGCCGTTTCTTTCTTTGTCTTGCCTAGTAGCTCTGGCTAGGACTTCCAGTACTATATTGAATAGAGGAGGCAAGAGTCAGCATTCTTCTCCTGGTGCTGATTCTCACAGAAATCCTTTCAACTTTTCAGTGTTGAGTATGATATTATCCATAGGCTTGTCGTATATGGTCTTTAATTGTGTTGAAGAGTCAGCATTCTTCTCCTGGTGCTGATTCTCACAGAAATCCTTTCAACTTTTCAGTGTTGATTATGATATTATCCATAGGCTTGTCGTATATGGTCTTTAATTGTGTTGAGGTACATTCCTTCTATACCTAATTTGTTGAGAGTTTTTAATCATAAAAGAATGTTGGATTTTGTCAAATGCCTTTTCTGAATCTATCAAGATGATCGTATGGTTTTTGACCTTCATTCTGTGCATATGGTGTAACACATTTATTGACTTGCATATGTTGAAGCATCCTTGTACCCCAGGGATAAATCCCACTTGATCATGGCAAATGGTCCTTTTAATATGCTCTTGAATTTGGTTTGCTAGTATTTCGTTGAGGATTTTTGCATTTGTGTTCATCAGGGATATTGGCCTGTAATTTTCTTTTCCTGTGGTGCTCGTATCTAGCTATGGTATCAGGGTAATGCTGGCCTCATAAAATGAGTTTGGAAGTTTTCCTTTCTCATCACATTCTTAGAAAAGTTTGAGATGGACTGGCATTACATATTCTTTAACTGGCTGGTAAATTCATTAATGAAGCCATCACATCCTGGACTTTCTTTGATGGGAGAATTTTCATTACTGACTCTTTACTTGTTATTGGTCTGTTCAGATTTTCTATTTCTTCATTATTTAGTCTTCGTGGGCTGTATATGTCTACAAATTTCTCCATTTATTCTAGGTTATCCAATTTGGTGGCATATAATTTATCATAGTGGTCACTTATGATCCTTTGTATTTCTGGGATATCAGTTGTAATGTCTCTTTTTTCATTTCTCATTAACCCATAGTTATATTATTAATAATACTAGGATAAGGCTTCATTCCCACTCATTCAGCCAAACTGCTGTACTACAGGTAATCAGTGAACGACTATTTTCAAAGTACATGATCAGCCCGCAGTCCTCTCTTCATGGACCTATCAACAACAACTAAAAGTTGTCAGTGTGACATCACTTACATTAATTTAGAAGAATCACTCTGGGGCCGGCCCCGTGGTGCACTCGGAGAGTGCGGCGCTTGGGACTACAGCGGCGCTCCCGCCGCAGGTTCGGATCCTATATAGGGATGGCCGGTGCGCTCACTGGGCGTGGTGTGGGTGACACCAAGCCAAGGGTTGCGATCCCCTTACCAGTCACAAAAAAAAAGAAGAATCACTCTGCCTGCTGGGTGCAGAACAGGTTATTAGGGGAGCCAGGTTGGAAGCAGAGACTAGTCAAAGACTTCCGCATTTACCTATGAGGGAGATAATGGTGACTTGCTCCTTGTTGGAGAATTGGGGGGGTGCTGAGAGGTCACATTCTGGAAATGTGTTGAAGATCAAGCCAAGAAGATTTGCTGATGGACTGGA